CCTTAAGGAAGGGTCCTCCGAAAATTTGGGCATTTATCTCGCTCAGATAAAAAGAGCTTCAATGAGGGTCCGGAAAGTCAAAGATGGGTAAGAGGAAAAGGTTTGACTGATCAACCTAAGACAGGGGCTTCTGTTAAATCTTCATCATGTTATAGGCCTATAAAACAGATGACCCCAATGACGGGTAAGACAGCCAAACGCTTTTCCCAACCTAAGACAGGCTTGGACATGTCTATACTTTCACTTAAAAGCTTCTTCTTGCTATGGAACCAAAGTTTTAAAACAAAAAGGGAGGAATTGTGGGGATCATGAGTATTGGTTGTAAGTACTGTTAACTCTAGTAACTCCATGTGTGTTAAGCTTCTCCAGTTGAGCAGGTAGAGTGTTTCCTTTGTGGAATTCCTGAAAGTTACAGTTTCTTGTCTCTGACCTTTAGATGTGTGGTTGTCCGGGTTACTACTACTCACGGTGGGTTGTTTTGGTGAACCTGTTTGCTCTTTTCCTGTGTGACCTTTCAGTTACTATGGTAAACCCATCCCATAATAGTTTGTGGTTTTTTGCTTTAAAAGGCCGGTGCTTGCCGGCAATAAACGCCACCTTGATCAGGCTCTTGTCTTGGCGTCCTTCCTTTCTCTCTGCCCCATCTCCACCCCGCTGCTCTTTCAGGTTTGAGACACTGCTGGACAGTGCTCTGCGTCGCCGGCTCGCGACAGGTTCAGGTATCAAACTCAGGATCTTGCGCTTGTGAGGCAGGTGGTTGCACCACTGAGCTTTTTCTGATACCTCCCGTCCCTGTGGAAAATAAACTGGACTTTTATTTTTGAGATATGGTCTTATTATGTAGTTCAGGCTGGCCTCAAACTACAGTGATCCTCCTTTCTCAGTCTCCTGAGTGCTGAAATTACAGGCATGCGCCACCATGCCTGGCTAGGAAACTGGACTTGGACCTCATGGTGCCACTTTCTGTACATTTGTTCATTTATCTGGACTAAAGAGAGGAAAGGGTGGTGGCTATGCCCTGGATCTCAGGGAAAACATTTTAACTCTTGGGCTGGGTGTGATGGGGCACACCTGTAATCTAAGCACTGGAGAGGCAGAAAGATCTCTTTGAGTCGAGTTCAGCCTGGGTTACATGAGACATTGTCTCAAAAAGAAATTCTAACTTTTAAAGTTTCATTTTTTAGGAAGAAAATGTTATAATGGGAAGGAGAAGGGGAAAAGGGAGGAGGGAAGGCAAAAGGAAGGAAGGGACAAGAGGAAGAGAAAATACGAGGAAAATGGAAACAAATCTTTTGTACACAGGGAGCAGAAGGGGCTTCAGGCGAGGGGGTGATGGGCAAAAAGAGCAGGATGTATCATGTACAGGTGCAAATTCCCTATGATGAGTGTTATCATTATGTATGCCTAAAATGTACCAATAAATGTTTAGCTATAAAAAAATAAAGGGCCAAGGATTTAGCTTAGTGGCACTCTGCCTGCCTCCCAAGCACAAGGTCCTGAGTTCGATCCCTGGTACCAGAAAATAATAAAATAAATAAATAAATAAATAAAATAAAGTTTCATTTTGTCCTGAAGGTTAAAATTAGAAAGTTCTTTAGGCCTGAGTTGGTGGCCCATGCCTATAATCCCAGCACTCAGGGGCATGAGGCAGGAGGATTACTGTGACAAGGCCAGCCTGGGCTACTTAGTGAGTTCACAGCCAGTCTGGACTACATAGAAAGACCCTGACCAAAAAAAAAAAAAGCTCAGCACTAGAAAGTTCACACTTGAGAAATAACATTTGCATGCACTGATGTAAAAAGACTTCTAGCAATATATCTCACAATAGGAAAAGATCTTGAGTGCAAAGCACTCAGCCCCTGGCTTCCTTCCCTAGCATCCTTCTCAAAGAAAGAAAAATACAGAAAACAGCACTCAATCACTTGGCCTCTGAAAGTTGACTGCGAGGATGGAATTTTTAGTGTAGTCAATGTGGAAAAACCATTATTGTCATTATTGTAATCTTGCTGAGCATAAACATAGTCACAACTATGAGAAGGCCAAAGTGAGTAGCCTGTGTGAGAAAACCTTCGACCAGAAGTGGAGGCTTAGGCACCAAGAACACCCACAGTGGTGTGATGATATGTGCCTATATTCCCAGCACTCTGGGATGCTCAAGCAGGAGAACTGCAACTTCAAGCCCAGCCTGGGCAACTTAGCAATTTAGGAGACTGTCTGAACATAGAAAATAAAAAGGGCTGGGATGTACATCTGTGCAAAGGCCTTTGGCTCAATCCCTACCTAGTACAAAACTGAAAGAGAGAGTGTGTGGGGGGATCTGTCTCATGAAGGGCAGCTGTAGCATAGACTTATTCTACCACCTTCCTGGCTGGACTTGTGTGTTTTGGTTATCCCTCATCAGGCTGGCCACCAACGCATGCTTTTCTGCCTACCTCAACCTCCAAATTCTGGGATTATAGGCAAGTGCCACCACACCCATCTAAGAATGCTTTTCTCATTTTGAAACAAGAGACTTAGTAAATCACTAAATTATTGAGGCTGGGCTTGAACTTGTGATCCTCCTGCCTCAGCTTCCCAGAGGGTGGGACTGTAGGTATGCACCACCAACCTGTCTAGAAGTGGGGTATCATAACAACAGGGTGACAGTTTCAGGGAGTGCCCAACATTTGCCATAAAAGAGTCAGTGAGATGCAGGCTCTTTCTTAGAAAATAATGAGTATGGTGAACCAAACTGATGGCCTGAATGCAAGGCTCTGAGTTCACCTTGACAAATGAGTAGTTGGTTTGAAATCTTTGCGCAGTAGGGACAGCAAGCAGAAGGTCACTGTTTCCAGTACTGTCTTATATCCCTACTGGTTTGAGGAGAATAAATTCCAAATTTTCTTCTGGGGGGTGTAAATAAATGGTAGAGTGCTAGCCTTGTAAACAGGAGGCTTTGGGTTTAATCCCCACACCTCAGTACCCCCAAATCCAAAATAGATTAACTCTTATATGACAGGTGTTTAAAATACCATCTATTCTGTGCACAGTTATAGATAAGATAAAGACAGAGGTACCTATAGAGGGAGGGAAATTAAAAGCCTCAAGGAATTTGACACATGACTGAGAATCCTAAAATCTTAACTGTCATAGCTGCAAGAGAAATCCTCTTATTTTCTGCCAACAATAGGGTCTGGATTGAGATTGTCTTTCCTTCTGTTTTTACTGTCACACATATTAGTCGAGAGGAAAATAACAATGAATCAGTAAGGCTTGCAATTCTTAGTGTATTATCAGTAGTACATTGCAAGACTGATCTCTCTCCCTCCCTCTCCCCCCTCTTTTTTTTTTTTTTTTTTTGTACCGGGGATTGAATTCCGGACCTTGCGCTTGAGAGGTAGATGGTAGTATCACTGAGCTAAATCCCTGGCCCTAAAGCTGATCTCTCTTCGAGACAGAATCTCGCTATGTAGTTCAGGTTGCTTTGAACTAGCTACGATCCTTCTGCCTCAGCCTCCGGAGTGCTGGGATTACAGCAGTGCCCCACTAGACAATGTTCCTCTTATCCTTAACGTGCTCTTTCAGTTACGTTTCTTTTTTGGGCTCCTCGCTCGCCTCCTGGAACCTCGGAAGTTTGCACTTTCAAACTTCCAGGGTTTGGTTTCGGGAGCATCTGGATGCGTGCTTGGACCAGGAACTCGACAAGGGAGTCCCAGCCCTGGGCGCGGAAATCTCAGGACTCGCTTCCCAGAGCTCCCGGCGACTGCGCTTGACGGTTGCCAAGGAGACCTCAAGGGCCCAGCTTCCTGACTTGCCGGAAGTCAGGCTAGAACTACATCACCCAGAAGGCTCTGCTCGCGCGTCCGCAGTAGTCATTGGCCCAACGAGGGCGGGGCTGGACTTCCGGCGCCCGGGACTGTCACTTTGCGGCGGGACTTCGGGCCACACCGGTGATCCCGGTCGGGGGCGAGGGGTAGCTCCTCAGGAAGTTCTGGAGGTCCGAGACAGAGGCAGCAAGGAAGGATACGCCAGCGGAGCACTCGC